CTGCCGTTGCTTTAGTAAGCTATTAACGTACCCATAATTGTTTGCTTATTAATAAATAAAAGGGTTTAGCGATAGCGGAAAAACCTTTAATAAACCGGCGATAAAAATTGGCAAAGCTTATAAAACGGCGGAATTTTTTTAAAATTGTAAGTTATTTTTATTAACGGATTGCTTTAACCTTTTTTTCGTTTATGCGGATTCCCGTAGTTAAAATGATTAGGCCGAAGTATTTGGTTTTTTGTATTAAAAATTTGCATTTTCGAATGTTAATGGTAAGGCCCGCGTTAGCAAGTTTTTAAACCATTACGCAAACGTGGCGCCGGTATTTCGCTTGCGTTTTGTTATAAATAAGGACGTTATTAAAGTATGCTATAGCGTAGCGGTTTAATGCATTTAATAAAATGCGGTTAATATAGTATTAAAAGGAGCTAGGGGCGCTTGTTATGCCGAAATTTGCTACCAAGCATTCGAAAAGGCCGAATTTGGTAATAAACGCTATTTTCCATTCGTTTTTTAAAACGATTTGTAAACGGTTAAACGCTGCAATAATATTTAGTTTGGTAAAGTACTTGGCTTTTAAAAAAGCGTTTAGTATTTTTTTAATTAAAAGGATGGGATATTTGTTTTTTACGGTAACGTTGTTTAAACCCCGGTAATTAATACAAACGCGGATTTCCCCCCCGGGCTTTTTTGTTAAAAAAAACCGGGGCAACCGTTAGCAATATATTGTTGCGTATAAAACTTTTCGCTAAATATTTGTTTAAATACTTTTTAACAATTTAAAGCTTTTTTTGGAATATAAATTTGTTATGGTGGTAAAAAGGCGTTTTGCTTAAAAACAATTCGATTTTGTAATTGGAAAAGCGGTACGGTAGCAATTTATCGGCGTTTTAAAAAAAAAAATATAACGCTAAATCGCGGAGTTCGTAAGGAAAGCGTTGTAAAATTTTTTTTATCGTAACGGGGGGTTTGCTATTTAGGTATTTTTGGATATTATTGTTGGAAATGCGCCGGAAATGTAGTGCTTTTTCGATTTAATTTTGGAATGCGGTTAAGCGTAATTCCAATATATCCCGAAAGATTTTATCGGACAAAATTAAAATGGAGCGAAAAATTTCCATTAACGTATCGTTGGCGAATTGGTTAGCGCTTATTAAGGGTATTAAAAGTTCGGGGCAAATTTTAACGTAAAGCTTTGCTATAGTTATTCGTTTAAATTATACGTTTTTTTATTTGCAAAATAGCATAAAATTGGGAACGCTAAACATGCGTATATTTGCGGGGTTAAATTCGTTATTATTATTTTTTAAACGGTTGCGTAATAAATTATTAGCGTTCGGGTTTAATTTTAATAGCGTAATGCCGTGCATAATTATTAAGCCCGCTATTTAATTAATGTAAAAGTTATAATAACGTAACCAAAAAAGCTTTAATATAATGTTAGGGCTTTCCGTTCCCAATGGTTAAATGTACATAATAAACGTTTTTATTTGGCAAATAATGCGGTAGCGCATTTTAACGCATTTGCGAAAATAGCCCGTAACTTTGCCATTAGCTAATTTTAAAAGGATAGGCTTAAGCAGGGCAAAGCGTAGCAAGTTATGGTTATGCGCAAAAGTATTGTTAATAAATGCTTATAAAAAATATCCGGTATTTAAAAGGGTGCGGTACCGGGTTGGTAACGTTCTTTCGGCAAAAAATTTATTGTAAAATAAAAAAGTAAAGTTAAATTTTATTAAATGTAAATACATTTTTGTTTTTTTTGGGAAATTATTGGCAAAACGCTAATGGCTTTAAAAGCGATTGTGCTTAAAGCTTATTTTTTTGGCTTTTTTTTTTTGTACAAACGGTTATTTGGTGCTTTACCCCGCCGCAATAAAAGCATAAATTATTAATACGCTTGTACTTTTTTCGGGCGTTAATAAAAAAGGGTCGGGGCCTTATCGTAATTTTGTTAAGGTTTATAGCGTTTAAATGTTAGGCCGGTTTCGGCGCATCGTTAGCGTTAGGATAGCGTGCTAAAGGATGGGCGTTAGCGTTTTGCTTGCCCCGGAAAATGTCGTTAGCGATATTATTGGTTAGGTTTCGGAACAAGCTTATTTACCCTTCGAAATCGTCGGGTTCCGGGCGTTTTACAATTAACGTAATGGTTTTGTACAATAAACGGTTTATTTTTTGCTTAAAGGCTAGTACTTGTAAATTGTTAAGCAAATTGTACATATTGCTAAATTTAATAAAGTTGCTAATAAAGTTGCCGAAAAAAAAATTGTTTTAAGCAAATAATTTAAAATCCCGATTGGCTTTTGCTAATATATCGGTAATAATGTAAATTTAATTTAACGTTTTAATAACGTTTGGGTAATTACGTTAGCCGGCGGGCCATTAAAAAACGTTATTGCCGGCCGTAACAATTTGGTCGATTTTTGTTTTTATAAAAACAAAGGCGTTATTGCTTAAATGCTAGGATAAAAAAAGAACGCGTTTTAATGGCGTTAAGAAAGCGGCCCGGTATAATTCCATTTGTATTTTAAACAAAAAGCGCTAATTGGTATAATGCTTTTATCGCTGGATTTAATCCATTTTTGTGCTTTTAAAAATTTCGAAAATGGCCGTTTAGGGGCGGATTGCTAGCGATAACGCGGCGGCCTTAAAAGGCTGCGTTAAAAAGGGCGTATTTGTAGCTAGTATAAGCATAGCTTGGCTGGATAATTGCTAAATTTAAATTTAAAGTTTGCAAATCGTTATTTTTTGGTTTAAAATTATAGCGTAAGCGGTATTGGCGTTTTAGCGGTATGTTGCTAGCAATTCGTTAATAGCTTAAAAACGGGTTTTTATAACCCGGAAAATATGTTTAAATTAAGCTTGGGCTTTATTAAAGCGTTTTAAATGCAAAGCGAAATATAAAACGGCGTAATCGTTAAAATTATTTTAAATTGCTTTGCGTATAAAATGCAAAGTTAGGAATAAAAAAACGGCGTTTTGTAAGATTGTTATTATTAAGCCCGAAAGGTTCGTTTCGGGGGCGTTGGGTACGGTAAGCATGGTATAACCGCAACGGTAATTCGTTAACGGGTTATTTGGTTAAAAAAGCTAAATCGAAAAAGTAAAAGTATTTTTCCGAAATTATACGGCAGGATTTGGGGTAAGTATTAACGTTAATTAATCGTAAGCAAAAAAATATGCTACCGTTTTACAAAGTTATTAGCAAAAAAAAGAACGAAATATGTTAATATTGGGTTCCAAAAATTTAAAATGCAATAAATTGCTACGGCTTATACTTTATTGTTATAAAAAAAGCTTTGTTATTGCACGAAAAAAAAGCTATTTGGGCAAAGCGTTTTTAGCGTTTTGTTGCGGTTTTGTAAGCGTAACGTTGGCGCGTTAAAAGTGCGGCCTTAGGTTCCTCCCCAGGTGCCCCGACGCGTACCGTAATACAAGCGATTAAAACGATAAAAGCGCGTACGTTCGCCGAAAGCGTTAAACGGGTTAAAGCTAATCGGGCTCGTTACGTTAAACGGATAAAAGCTTTGCGCCGTTTTTTAACCTAAACCCCGATTAACATTGCCGTAACCGTTTTCGAATTTCCGGTTGTTTTTGCTACTTTTTGCACCTTTCGTTTTAATTTCCGACCCAACCCGACCGGTGCTTTTTAAGCTTTAATTAAACCAAGCAAAAATTCCGGGCCCGATTAGCTTATTCGTTAAACGATTAAAATTAATTTTAATTTCAATAAATTCGTTAATTAATTCGTTTAAAAAAATAATAATAATAACGATAAGCCCGTCGTTTTTTTCAATACCCGGAAGCGCAAAACGGGTAAAAAAACAAAAGTAAATAGCCAGGTTAATTCGTTCCCAACCGTTTTCGCGGGTTTTATGCTAACCACCCCTTTCCTTTCCGTTTTAATCCTTAAAAAAAATGCTATTTGGCCTTTTCTTTTAGCGAAACCGTCGACCCTTTTTTAACGGGAACGTTTTAATTAGCTTTTCCAATAATATTACTTCCCGCGCGGTCCTATGCAATAAATGCACCAAAAGCTTTTTAATAAAATTTCGGGGCTTTTGCAACAATAAGCCCATAGCGCGCTCCTTTTGGAATGGTTGTACTTTACGGTATGTTTAATGTGCTTAAAGCAATTACCGTTGCAACCTTTTCCCCTTTTTGCCCCAATTGCGCATTGCAATTGTTTTATTCCAAAAAAAGCTTTTGGGTAATTTTCGCTTTAAAATTAAAAAGCTTAAAAAAATGGTAAGCCATTTTTTCGAACCTTACCCAAAACCGGGCAGCAAGCAAAAGGATAAAGCCAAAAAAAGGAATAAAAAAGCTTTCCGTCGAAATAATTTTACCTTTCGTAACCCGACCCCAAAAAAAAGGAAAAATGGTAATAATAACGAAAAAAGTTAAAAAAATAGCATTAAAACCGCAATAATTCGGGGCTATTCTTTTTATGGAAATGCTTTTATTTATTAAATAATAAGTAAGGGTTAAAATTAAAATAAAAATAAAAATGGACAAAAAAAAGGTGCAACGCTTTTAAAAATTGCACGCGTGTTAAAAGCACGGGCGAAACCGCCCGGCAAAAAGCGGGGAGCGTTAAATGCACGGGCGAAACCGCCCGGCAAAAAAGGAAAAAGGGGGCGCTGGCAGCCAGCCGGGCACGGACCCCCCGGGGACATGCCGGCGAATTATCGGTATCGCGGCCAAAGCATAATGGCAAAGCTAAAAAATAAAGTAAAGTTTAAATTGTACGAAAGCGCTTAAAGCGCGAAAGATTTAAAAAACCAACCCCGAATGCCCAAAAGGGCACGAAAAAAAAGGAAGTTAAAAAAGGAACAATTTTTGTTAGCGATAGCACTTTTGGTAAAAAATTTACGAAAGTTTAACAAAAAAATACCGTATCCGGCCCGTAACCCGGTAATTACCCGCTTTTGCACTAATTAACCTTTAATATATTGTTCCTTTTTTTATACCTTTTTTATTTAAAAAGTAAGCCCGGGTAATTACCGGAAAGGATCGAGCAAATTTAAAAAAGGCATTTGCAATTTCGCACCGCTTATAATAACGCCCAACGCTACGTCGAGCACGTTGGAAAAAGCCGCTAAACCACCAAAACAAAATACCAAAAAAACCCCGCAAATTTCCAACGATTTCGAAAACTTTTCCGTAAAAAAATTGCAAAAAATAAATAACGCGCTAAAAGCCCAAAGCAAACGCGCCCGCTTAATCCAAAAAATTTAAAACAAAAGGTCGAAGCATGCGCATAAAGGTTTAAACAAAAATAAAAAAAATACTTTTAAACGACGGAAAGGTTTTACGTAAAGCAAAGTTACTTTTAAACCTTTTATGCTTAAAAAATTGGCAATTTAGCAAAATATCGCTTATTACATTAGCAATTACGAATTTATTTTCGAAAACGAAAAAAAACGTTACGATAAGGACCGTATAAAGGTTTAAATAGCTTTTAGCATTTTTAACCATTGTTAACGGGCACAATAAACAAAATACAAGCAAATGCATTACTTAAATACCGGGGTATCGCTTATTTAGGCCAATTTTTTGCGGTAGCTTTAAGCAAAATCGAAAAACCCCAATTCGCAAATATAGCTAGCAATTAAAAAGCTTGCGGGGGATACCGTTATTAAGCAAAAAAATTACGAATTGTTTAAAACGTTCCGGATTTGTTGGGATTTGGTAAAAAATAACCTTTCCGAATTAACACCCGAATAAATAAAAATAATATTATTTTTTAACCGGTTTCGCCCCGAAATCCAAAAACGGGTAATATTTAAAAGCTTTCCTTACATTATAAAAAAATTGCAAACTAAAGCTTTTAAAGCAAAAATAATATCGGAACCGTATAAAAAAACCCCGGGGGATATAAGTATTTTAACCCCCAAAAAGCCGGTTATTTATTTTAAATGCGGGCAGTTAGGCCATATCGTTGCAATATGCAAAATACGAACGGATAATTCGAAAACCCCGTTAGCCCCAACGATTATACAAAAGGCGAAAAGGAAAAAGCCCGAAGTACGGTGTTATAAATATGGGGAATTGGGCTATATCCGGCCGGCGTGCCCTAAAAAAAGCAAAATATCGCTATTTAATTCGATACCGCTATTTGGCCGTTTAAATACCGGGGCTTAAAAGTACGCCCCGGCGGTTAAAACGCGCTAAAAAACCGAAATGTATTTACGGATTAACGGTCGCCGGGTAAAGTTAAAAGCGCTGGTTAACAATAAAAGCAACGTTAATTTATTGCATAACCGTTTTTTGGTAAAAATAAGAAAAATACCGGTACCAAACGGGGGCTATTTGGCGTAATTCGATACCAAAAAACGCATGCTTACGCTAAAAGTAAAAAAATACAAAATTCGAGTAACGAATAATTAAGGAATAACCCGAAAATTAATGGTATTTTACGTAATAATGCCCCGGGCCGGGTACAACATTACGTTAGGCATGCTTTGGCTTTAGCAAAAAGATATTAAAATCCGGTTTGGGGATATAAAATAAAAATTTCCGGTAACCACCAAAAAGGTTAAAATAATTTTGTTGGAAATAGCTAAAAAATTAATCCAATCGGGATAAGCGATAGCCGTACTAACGGTTATACGCCCGGAAACCCCGGAAAACCCCGGGGAAGGGCTAAAAGCTTTTCCGGAATGGGTTAAAAAGATAGTTACAAAATATGCGCAGCTTTATAAATCGAACCCTTTGCTAAAATATATAAGCTGGAATTACGCGATTGAATTGGAAAAAAGAACGATACCGCTTTACAAAAGCATTTATTTTTTATTTAAAAAGGAATTAAAAATTTTCCAAAAGTACTTCGACGAAGTTATAGCAAAGGGTTGGATTCGGCATTTAACCAACCCCGCCGGCGCCGGAATTTTATTCGTTTTAAAAAAGGACGGGAAGTTTCGCTTTTGTATCGATTATCGGGGTTTTAATAAAATTATCAAAAAAAACCGGTTAGCATTCCCGTTAATTTACAAAATATTTAACCGGGTATTTAAAAGCTAGTACTTTACCAAGCTGGATTTGAAAAACGCTTATTACAAAATACGGATCCGATAAAAAAACGAGTAAAAAATTGTTTTTCGTTGCAAATATAAACATTACGAATACTTAATAATGCCTTTCGGTTTGGCCAACGCTTTAACAACGTTCCAAAGCTTTATTAATATGGCGTTTGGGGAATTAATTAATAACAATTGCATTGTATATTTAAATAACATTTTTATTTTTTCGAAAATACAGGAAAAGCACCGCAAAGCAATAAAAACGGTATTAAAACGATTCGAACGGTTTAAGCTTTACGTTAGCCCGGCTAAATGCGAATTCGAAACGGATAGTATCGATTTTTTAAGGTTTAAAATAACTAAATTCGGGGTCGAAATTTTGCCGAATAAGGTTATTGCAATTTTAAAGTAAAAAATACCGGAAAGCGTTAAAAATATTTAAGTATTTTTGGGCTTTACGGGGTATTATCGAAAATTCGTAAGGGGTTATGCGAAAATTATTATGCTTTTAACGGATTTTTTTAGCAAAAATACCGTATTTTATTTAAAAAATGTTGCAAAAAAGGCTTTTTACAAATTAAAGTTATTATTTACGAAAGCTTTAGTATTGGTGCATTTCAACCTTTCGAAACCGTTATGCGTGCGAATTAACGCTTTGGCTTTTGCGATAAAAGCGGTGCTGTTATAACTATAAAACGGCCGGTAGCACCCGGTAATTTACATATCGAAAAAATTGCAATAAAAAAAGCTACGCTATGCAATTTTTAATTTAAAATTGCTAGCGATCGTAAAAGTTTTCGAAAAGTAACGGCATTATTTAACTTATTTACAAAAAATTGTTAAAATAATTACCAACCATTTAAACCATACCCATATTTTAATAAAAAAAAGGTAATAAAGCGTTAAGCAAGGTAATTTAAAAATTTAACAAAGTACGATTTTACGATTAAATGGAAGCTAAAATACCGGAACCCCGCGAATAGCTTGTTAAAACGTTTTTAAAATATACCCGTAAACGGGGAAGCCGATAAGGCAAAAAAAAAAATTCCGAAGCGATTTGCTAGCTAAATTCCAAAAAACAGCCCATATAAAAACAACCATTACTAAAAAAAATACCAAAACGACATTAAAGCGCATTTTTAAAGTATAAATAAAAAACGATTTTGTTTAAAGCGGTATTTAGAAAAGCAAATTTAACGTTTGGGAAATTAGCAACGATTTATTTAAGTACAAAAAAAAAGTTTGGGTTCCGAATTTAACGCCGTTGCAACGAACAATGCTTTGGGAACAATACGATAGCCCAACGGGGGGTTACAAAAGCATAGCCAAAATTTTAAAAAAGTTTAAACGGTAGTTTAAATAGCCGGGTATGGTTAAAAACGTACGCAAATACGTACGGACGTATTAAATATATTAATAAATAAAGCCGAAAATACAAGCACTTTACGGGCTATTAGCACTTTTGCCCGTGCTAAACCGCCCGGAACAAAAGCTATCGATAAATTTTATCGGAAAATTTTTAATATCGGTAAATGGAACCGGCAAAAAGCGCGATGCAATATTAGTAATGGTTAACCGGTTTATTAAATATAGCTTTTTTATTTTAACGTTTACGAAATTAACCAATAAAAGATTGGGGAATTTTTTATTTATATACGTTTAAGGATTGTTAGGAACGCCCGAAAAAATTGTATCGAACCGGAACAAGCTATTTACAAACGGGTTTTAAATAACTTTTGCCGGATATTTAAAGGTTGCAAAAAAGCTATTGATAGCATATTACCCTTAAACCGACGGGCAAACGGAACGGACGAACCAAGCAATAAAGCATTATTTCCGGTGCTTTTGCTGCAAAAAGCAAAACGATTAAGCGTTGCTATTGCATTTAGCAACGTAAATGTACAATATAAGCGTACATTCGGGGTTGCAAAAAACCCCGGCGTTTTTGTTAATAAAGTTTTACTTACAAAGGTTTTATAACCTTTGGGTAATTAAAAAAAAACCTTCGGTAACGGTTAAAGTTAGGGCGGGGGCTTTGGAAGCAATTAAAAAGCAAATTAAAAAATTGCTAAAAAAAGCGAATAATATATATAAAAAGTATTATAATAAAGGCAAAACCCCGGTGCTTTTCGGGGTAAGCGATTGGGTATTGCTAAATACGGCGAATATTAAAATAAAAAAGCCGTCGAAAAAATTGTTAAACAAATGGTTGGGACCTTTCCAAATCCTAAAAATGGTTGGGTTAGCTGGTTTGGCGTTCCGGTTAAAGCTTTCGGTAAATTACCGAATATATAACGTATTTCCGGCAAATTTATTGCGGGCGTTTAAAAAAAGGCCCAGCAAAAAACCAAAAAATAAAAAATTAAAAATCGAAAAAAAAAAAGGATCGTTTCGAAGTAAAGGCTTTGCTAAAATATAAAGGGCTTTTGCGGAAACGAAAATACCTAATTAAATAAATAAGTTATAACGAATCGGAAAATTTGTAAATTCCAAAAAGGGATATTACGAAAAAAATTGTTTAAACGTATAAAGCAAATTTATTGTAAGCAAGCTTATAAAATAAGGAAAATACCGAACCCTAACGGGTAAATACCCGGAAGGAACGGGGGTATTACAAGAAAGGAATAACAAAGGCCAAAAAAATGGCTTAAAAAAATATTTTAAACGTACCGAACCGGTTGGTTACCGGGGAAAAACGTAAAAAAATTTGTAAACGGTTTGTAATAGCCGTAAAATATTGTGCTTTATAAACAAAAAGTTAGGTGGGGACGGTATAGTACAAAGGATGCCCCAAATTAATAGTGCGATACATTTAAATCCCGAAGGACATACAAAGTATAGCATATTTCGAAAAGCCCGTAAAGGGCATGCTTAGCGCAATACGTTAAAGCAATTACCGCATTTTAAACGTACGTTGTAGTAAAAAACATTATTGTTTGCCCGAAAAGGAAATAAAAAAATTTCCGGATGGTATAGCAAACGGGCTTAAGCGTTCGGGTAGCGGCAAATGCATATCGGCGGTATTTAAACCCATTGGGGGGGCAAAGAAAAAGCATTTTAAAATTATTTATTGGGGCATTAAAGCTTAATTGGTAAATATAAATACCGGAATTTCGCAATGTTGCAAAGGCAATATAATAAAAAGAAATTGTAATTTTAATTGTAATAAATTAACGAAAAAGATTTAAAATTAATTACCTTTCGAAAAGGGAATACCAATAATTAATTAGGAAAATATGTAAAAAAAATCGATTAAATGCCGTATCCAAGGGAACCAAAACCTTTAAAAACCACGTCCTTTTCGCTGGCGCTACAGTTGTTGCCGCTAAAATTATTGGCGCCAAAAGCGGCACTTCCCGGCGTTAATACGGACGCCGCACTTTTACGGGAAACCGCGCAATTGTAAGCCTAAATATCCAAATGCGCCGCAATCGTAGCAAAATTAACGGCAATGCCATTAAAAAAAGTAACCACATTTTTTTTAAAACGCTTAAAAAACGCTTTTATTTTGTTAAAAAAATTACCGATGCCAGCCAAAACTTAAGCTTGCCTTTTTATTTAAACGGCGATAGCGTAAAATTATTAAAAAATATTTTAAATAGCTTTTAATGTTATAGCGCTAACAATTTTGCGCTGGATGCGCTTTTAAATAACGGTTTAACGTTTGTAACGCGCAAACTATTCGGCCAACATGGTATAAAAAAATTTAACCTTTTAAATAGCCTTGCAAGCGCGAAATTGGGCTTTAGTAAGCTTTTCGAAAAACTTCGGTATCGTTTTGGGCAACCGTTTGTAAACGGTATTTAAAATTTTGTAAAGGTTTTGGGCCATTTCCCAAAATTATTTGGGGAATTTAACGCAAGTTTTATTGCTAACCACGTTTTTGCAATAAATACATTTAAAAAACCCCGTACAATTATCGGAGCATATTGGCATATAGGGGTTAACGGCATAATTTTAATATGCTTAACGACCAAAATAACGGCTATAAAATACCGCACGTTTCGTATAATTATTTTTAAAAAGGGGCAAATAAATAAAATTTTAATTATCGCTTTATTAAAAATCGATAACTTTTTGCAACGGGAACGCGTTGCAAATACTTATGTAAAGCAAAAAAAAGGCAATGTTCGTTTCGAAAGCAAGTTTATTGGAATTAAAAGCGTTGCGGCGGCGTTTATCGCGCGCTTTACGCTTTTTTTTGGCAAAGGTTTTTTTGCTGCGGCGGTTAAAGCCCGCCGGGGGGTTACCGACAAAACGTTTGCGGGAATTTTAAAAAGTTGCAAGCGCAAAAGGGCCCGATAAACCCGCAATATTTAAAAAGCTTACCAAAAAGTTACCGGTAAAGCGATCGTTAAAAATTTAAAAAATTAAAAGTTTCGGCGAAACCGAATCCAAATCCAATTAAATTACAATAGCTAAAAAGGATACCGGGGGGTTGCTAAAAAAGGCTAGCGGGTTGGTTAAGACCGAAAAACCCGAAACGAACACCCGAAAGAATATTACTTTTTTTACGTAATTGGGTACGAAAAATAACATTTACAATTACCGGTTAGGTCCAAATGTTTAAAAAAAACAGCTAAATACCAATTATTTACGGTTACGATCGTTAAAATTGTTAAAATGGTTATTAAATGCACAAAAAGGAAAAAAAAGGGTTTGTAGCTTTAAGCGGGAAAAAAAGCTTTTTATATGCCGGTACGGACCCATTTTTCCGAATGCTATAAAATTTTACAGCCGGTTTTCCCAAACGTTGCCGGGCATTAAGGCGGCTTAGCGAAATACCGTAAATTACCGGCTACTTACGGGGTTGCACGCGCGGCATAAACGGTTTGGGATAAGCCGTATCGAAAAGGGGCAATATGTTAAAAGCACGGGCAAAATCGCCCGGCAAAAAACGAAAAGCGTTAAATGTACGGGCGAAACCGCCCGGCAAAAAAGAAAAAAGGGGCGTTAGCAACCAGCCGGGCACGGACCTTTTAAAAACATGCCGGCAAATTACCGGTATCGCGGCCAAAGCATAATGGCGAAGCTAAAAAATAGGGTAAAGCTTAAATTGTACGAAAGCGTTTGGAACGCGAAAGATTTAAAAGACCGACCCCGGGTGCCCGAAAGGGTACAAAGGAAGGGGAGGTTAAAAAAAGAACAATCTTTGTTAGCGATAGCACCTTTGGTAAAAGATTTACGGAGGTTTGATAAAAAAAATACCGCATCCGGCCCGTAACCCGGTAACTACCCGCCTTTGCACCGATTAACCCCTAACAACGCGTTATAATTAAATGCCGTTTTATTATTTAAAACCGGCATGCTTTATACTTATTAATAAAAAAAAAGTTTGCGTTATGCCTTTATGCAAACGTTATACGCTTTTAATATTTATTTTAAAGTTTTTAGCTGCGTATTAAGCTTGCCAACCCGTTTTTAAAGGAATCGTACAACCTTAAAGCAATTTTAAATGTTTTAAATTTGTAAAGCGGGAGGTTTTTGGTAAGCCCGTTTACTGGTATAAAGGCGGTTTTAAAATATACTACGTTAAACGTTCCTTTTTGGTACTTTTAACGTAACCATATGTTTATAATATTTACGTACTTTAAAACCGTATTAATGCGGGTGCCCTTTTTAATTACCAATCGAATTGTTTATATGTTATTACAGCAAAGCTTTTAAAAAGTATTAATTTCCAAGCGCAAATTTCGAAAAAACCTTTGCATAGCGATAATTTCTTTTCTAAATTTTATAAGCGCCAAAAGCTTTGCCTTTATGGTAAACGTTGTAACGGTAACTTATTTTTTTGCTTTTTACGCTACGGGCCTTCCAAATAAAAATATAACGTATCTTTTAAACGACTTTTTCGTTTTTTTATCGTTGGCAAAAAAAGCGTTTAAAGCGAAAAGCAAATGGTCGAATTTTAAAACGTTCCCTAACCGAATGCAATAGGATTTCGACCCTTTTAAATATAAAAAGGTATGGTTTGCCGCTTCCAAATGCTTTTTATTTGGGTTTGTAAGGTATTTAAAAAGTTTTGCGCTCGCAAAAGCAACGTTTAAACGAATGGTAATGGCCGTATAAAGTATAAACCCGACTTTTTTTTGCATAGCCAGGACTTTAGCGGGTATCGCCACCCCCAAATTCTTTTTAAACGTTTGGCTAAGCAAAAAAAAGCGCTTTACGCTTTTATTTCCGAAATTAAAAGTATTAACGATTTTATCGATATAAAAATTATAATGCAAGGTTATTATCCGTACTTTTTTATCCCTTACGATTTAAATTTTAAGGAAAATTTTAAATGGTCCCTTTTTTATTTTGTACTCCTTTTTAAAACCGTTCAATACTTTTGTTGCCATTTTTAAATGCGTAGCACGGTTAAAAATAATTATATTGTTAACGTACAAAAAAAAAAAACCTTACATTTTATGCTTATAAATAAATAAAGCTTTTCCGTTAACGGGATAAGCTTTAATTTCTTAAAGGTTTTTTTGAAAACCAGGTATTACAATTTCGGTAAATCCCGTAGCCCGTACAAAGCTTTTTTAAACCGGGCCACAAACCTTTTTCGGTAATACCCAAAAAGGAACTTTACGTAAACGGGTATATGGTTATCGTTAATTTTTGCGTAAAAAAAGGCTTTGCTAACGTCGATTTGGTACGCTTTAAAATCGAAATAAATTATAATTGCTATTATAATTTTAAAGCTTTTGGTTGCAAACGTAACAGCGTAAGTTTTTTCCAAACCGTTAAATTATTAATTACTTTTAATTACCGCGCGAAATTTATAATTTGTAACGTAACCGTTTTCGTCGAATTTGTAAATAAATACCTAAATAATATCGATGGCTTTACCATTAAATAAATTTTTCGAAATTTTTTTCCAAATTTTTTTTTCCAATAACTTATTAATTTCCCCGAAAGCAAATTATTTAAATTCCTTTTTATACGGGTGCGTATTAAATTTTCGTTAAAATTTTAAAATTTATTGTAATTCGTTTCGGTGCAATTGCTTATATTTTTAAAAGTTATTGCATTTTAATATTTTCGTTACGGCAATTGCAATTATTTCGTAAACCGGGCAATGGCCGAAATTACTTTTTTTAATTGCCGTTTGTTAATTAAGCAAATACGTATCGAAAAAAGCTCGTTAACTTTCGTTTATTAAGCTTGTTTTAAAAGCAACGTTTTTAATTTCCGGTTTAAAAACGTTAAACGTTATCGCTAAGCCGTAATAAAAAATAGCGTTATTAAAGTTATTGCGTTGTTTGCTTTTCCTTTTTTTTTTTTTTTTTTTTTTTTACGGCCGCACGCGTTACGGCGCGGATCGCTTTAAACATAATTATTAGCAAATCCGGTAAAAACGCGTTAAAAAAAAAGGCTTTGGGCAAAAGCGAAAGGCCCGTCCCTTTGCGGGGTCGGCTTTTACCTTTTTTAACCGGAAAAAAAAAGGAAGGCGGCGCTTTTTGCTCGTTTAGGTTTGTTTCGGACAAATTTTTAAAAGTTTTAAACGCTTTTGGTATCGCGATTGGGGGCGCCGCAAAGGTGCCGCTTATGGTCGCAATTGGCATATCCGGTCCTAAAGTAAGCAAAGACCGGTTTGTTGCTTTATAAAGTAAAGCCAGCCCTAACGATTTTAAAGGTTATTTTTCGGGCTCGTCGTTACCTTTACCCTTTACCGGCGGAAAGTTATCGCTTTTTCCGGGCCGTATAAAGCCGTAATACGAATTGCTTATACGTAAAAAGCCCGTATTACGCATTTGCTTTGCTTTATGGCCATTTTTTAAAGCATTTAAAATTAAAAATTTGTGCGCGTTTAAATCCGGCCCGTTGGCCGAATCCTTTGCGGCTTTAGCCCTTATGGTTACGACAAAACCTAATTTTTTTACCCCCAATTTTTAACCTTAATGCTTGGTAGCAAAGGTAAGTGCTTAAAACTTTTCCGGTTAAAAAAGCCCTAGCGCATTAACAATTCCTTTTTGGGTTGCAAACGGGTTTTCCGTTTCGTTGTACTTAACCAACAAGTTATAAATAGCTACGTCGATCGGGTCCTTTTTTTGCTTGCCTTTAAAAAAGCTTTTTTTATTAAATTTAACGTTTTTTATAATTATTACTTTTTTTTTTAACGGGACCTAAATTTAATAAATATTAAAAGCTTAATAGCCCATTAAATATTTAACCCCGGTACGAAAATTAACTTTAAAATGCTTAAAATCCGCGTTATGGGACTTTTTTACGTTTAAAGGATAAATTTTGCACCCGTAAGCGTAAATACCGTTCCAATCCGGTTTTAAATTAGCTATTAAACCCGTAAAAAGCTTTGGGGCGTAATGCCGAAACCACCCCCAAAATTAATTTAAAAAAATATCGTTGGAAGCGCGCATGCTTTTTAACGGTAAAAAATTTATATTTTTTAATTAAACGGCAACGTAAACCGTTTTCGGCCATAAATGCTTAAGGAGTTTTGCGCTTTTGCGCATATATATCCCTTTCGTAATAACGTTTTGTCCCGTACGCTTAATTATCCCGTTGGGCTCGTAAATATATAACGGTAAGGTTTTAATAACGATACCTTTAATTTAAGCCCATTTTTCGTATTCCGAAAACCCTTTTACAAATATAATGGACTTTTTTTGGTCGTATTTAAAAATAATAACAAACAATCCGTATTGTTTTTTTATTTACGCTTTCCATTTTTTTAAAATTTTGGTAACCGTTGGTCCCTTTTTATTTGGAAATGTAAAGCTTTAGGTTTTGCCGTTATATTCGTCCATTAATAGCAAAACCCAATTTATCCTTAACTTTAACTTAAAGTAATTAAATAGGTTAAATTAAACCCTTTAAAAAAGGCGCATGGCCCTTTTTATAAAGCGTTTGGAAATAACGGCTGTAGCATAAGTTATTGCGCATGCTTCGCATTTAATCCGTTTAAATCCTTTAATTTTAACGTTCCGGGCGTTTTAAACAAAAGCTTTTAGCGCTTGTAATCCTAAATAACCATTGCGCAAATGCTAAAAGTCGGCGGTATTTTTTTGCGGTTTCGTAAAGTCCGAAAATGGACGTTACGTATGCGTAGCACGCTTGCGGCGTAAAAATTTTTTAATTGCAAAAGTTAAAACCGTATTTTTTAAAAAAGATTGCAACGTAATTAATACAAAATAAATAGCAATAGGTTTGTATTTATAAAACATTACGTTATTTTTGCGCTAAAAGCGTTTAATTACTTTCCCGTTGGTAACCTTTTTAATGCGCAAAATCGCGTTTTTCCCGCAAAATTATACCCTTTTAGCGTTTAAACGGGCTTTCGAAATAATATTAAT